ACAGCTAGTTCTGCTATTCTTATACCAAGGTTACTTGTACGTACAGCACCTGAGAAAAATTGTGTCATTATAGAAAGAAATTCATCAACATTGTTATTTACTCGTGGATTAGTATACATGTACCTTCTATACATATTTTCAACAACTTGTTTTATTTCTGTAATTATTCCCTCTACAATGCGTAATTGCCGGTAATCTTCATTACATGTTTTCTGAACATCTTTTATTCCTGATTTCTCAATGATGATATCAGCAATTGATGCTCCTGCTACTGTACCTCCTCCTACAGCAGCTGCACCTATTCCAATAGCAGAAAGCGCAAGAGATCCACCAAAAGTAACTGGTGTTAGTGCAAAACCAAGGATAGCCAGTGCACCACCACCAATAGATGCAGTAGCTCCAATGATTCGGGATTTATTGACGTTACTATGATGTTCCTGCAGATTATCTGCTGCTTTTCTGATTTCCCTTATTGTCTGCTTACGAACTGGTAGCCATTCTTCAACTGCTTTGTCAAGTTTCTTGCTTAAGTTAAGGTATTTATTTAATTCTGTGCTTCTATTAAAAAATGAATTAGTAAAAAATGATAATAGAATAATTATTGAAACAAACCTTTTGATATGATACCTTCTGAAACAAGTGAATTCGATTTGTGGAGTTTGTACATCATCACCGAAAAATTTTTCAACTTCTTTTTGGACTTTCATCATTATATTTAATAAATGGTCATCAGTAGAAGCTTTTTTTAAAACTTTAACAAACGCTTGTATTAAGAAGCTTCCTTCATCATCATTGCAGCCAGCTGTATGACCTCGTGTCGATGCAAATATGGTCATAATATCGGATGAATCTGTGACACGGATTGTACCACTTGTACTAGAACTTTGAGGCACAGATTTAGATGTAAAGTAAACTTTTTCACCTATGTCACCACGACAGGCATCAATTACAAATACTTTAGGCTTGCCAGCAAGAGAGTGACAATTTGTAGCATGGAAATGCTTTTCCAAATGATGGACACTGACTATTCTTCCATCAGTGCCATAGACAACATCACCTTCTCCTCCATGACTGGATATAATGAGGAAGAAGGCTCCAGTGTGCTGCATTTTACCATATCTCCTTGCAATAGATTCCATATCTGCTGCTGTTAATTTTGATATGGTATGACAACGAATCCAAGTGCTGCAAATATAACCCTTAGACGCTTCTCATCTATTTGACCACTGGGAAGATCTTCCAGTTTGGGATCATCAAAGTTCATGTTATTAAAAATGACACAGTCCTGGACCACAGTCATATTCACCTGTTGAATGATATAAAACTATTCAGACTACAGTACATAATAATACTCACCTGATGATGATGCCCTTGAAGCCATTTTCCTTCTTTGCGTATCTTCTTGTCGAAGCTGTCTTGTTATGCTGTTTAAATCATAGATACGGACCAGGTCTGTATCTATTGTTAAATATGCTGTTGTCTTGTGGTTTCCTCCGGATGTCAGTCCAGCAGTACTATTTTGTGGTCAAGTTTTATGATTGTTTGTAGCTGTCAATTTAATAGAAATGGACATAATTGTGTACTGTCAAAATGTCAACTTCATTAGAATAGCTAATAAAGAACACAAATCAATTAAGAACATCATATTCAGTTATTAAACATCATGCTAAATATGTACCATTAGCTAAGTGTATTTAATTATATAATTCATTAGGCTAAATAATTTACTGATAAAGTTGTTTGGCATATTTCTTCAAATAATATGCAATGTATAGTATATCTATATCTTAATTCTTTTTTCCTCTTCTCTCTCTCCTTTTCTTCTCCCTTCGCCCATTCTCTCCCCTCCCTCCCTCTCCCTCCCCCAGGTATATGTAGACGGTGCTAATCTCAATGCTCAGGTTGGGCTCTGTCGTCCTGGGGATTATGGAGGAGATGTGTCTCATCTGAACCTTCACAAGACCTTCTGTATACCTCATGGAGGGGGTGGACCGGGAATGGGACCTATTGGAGTGTGAGTATGGAAACATGGGAATGAGTCTTTGTTTAATTAAGTGTGTGGATAGTGTTATTATATATGTACAATAGCAAGCTTGCAACTATAGGATGTGTTACTAAAAATAGCCAGTCATTGTGTTCTATTATTAGACTATTTATAATAGCTGCATGTTCATGTACATACATGTACATAAATATATTTTACACATGTACTTGACTTTAATTTATTTTTATAGTTATGTACATGTACTTATACATGTAAAAGATGTAGATCTAGAGGGAGTTTAGGAGACTTTGGATTTCAAATTTTATTTCTATAGCTATATATAACAATAATTATGCATGTACATCTCTTTATTCTCTTATTAAATAATTAATTATTTATTTATTTATTTATTTATTTATTTATTACTAGTAAGGCTCATTTAGCTCCATACCTACCTGGTCATCCAGTAACTGGTCCTAATCCATTAAAGTCCTTTGGAACAGTATCATCAGCAGCATGGGGCTCTGCCTCCATCATACCAGTCTCATGGGCTTACATACTAATGA